TTACACGGGTCCTACTTCTTGCCTTATCGTAAGCCTTCTTTTGTTCCGCAGACGTTTTCCTCTTTTGTTTTTTATTCGCCATCTCTATCTTTCTGTCGCCGCTCGGCTAATGTCCATCCTGTGCACTGAGCGCTCTCTCCTCCACATCATGAGTAGACACGCCCCTTACTGCTGATTGGCTACAAGTTTGTTTTGGTACTCGGCCGACTCAGTTTTCTAAAGCGTTTTTGAAAAAATACATACCCCACCTTTAATTAATGTAAAACAATAACATATGTCAGTGTTGATAAGCTGAGCACATCTTCCATCCATAGGCTGGACGTCTGTCATCCTTTAAGCAAAGCCAGATTAAGAATAAACAGGTTTGACTGTTTTTGTAACCAACTAGCACAAAAATTACCACAAAACATATATTTTGTGAAATAACAGGCATTATATTATGTTCTCATATATTCACTCAATCTCTGTCTGTTGCACAGATTGACACTCCTGAATCCTCATCTGTTGCTGACAGCCTCAGAAAAAGAAAGGTTAGATCCTGTAATGATGACTTTACATTAAAAAAGAGATTTAGCTCAGATGTTTAGGACACAGAATCTCAGATAAACAGGGTTGTGGGAGCTTTTCCCATTTCCCCGTCACTGACATGCCTGCATCTCTTAATTTTCACAGTGTCAGAGACCGCTGTTTCCCTCCTGCCCTGGTCAGTATAATAGTGACCCATGACCAGACAATACACTCATTAATGTCAGCAGTTTTCTATTTCAGTATTCTTTATATTCTGTTTCCTCAGTGTTTGTGCATTTGTTGTAGAATCAAATGGCAGGAACGATGATGACAATGGCGAAGTTGTTGATGAGAATGATGAAGATATCATTGACATGACCGTGTTTGAAGGTCCAACCCTACCTGTTACCTGTGGTTCTGGCTCTGGCATCCTACACAAATATCGCTTTGCCACAGGTGTGTGAGTGGGCATATATTTAAAAAAAACAATTGCTACAAATATATTAATATATATTATGTGTTGGTTAAATATGTTTGGACACTTTAGGCACACATAAAAATGCCTGGATGTCATTGCAGATACAAAATATCAAACTGTTATTTCTTCTTAAGAAAGTTAGCACACTTATACTTTAAGCAAAGTATGTCACAAAAATCACCAAAACACCAGCTGATTAAAAGTCTTGGAGCAACAGTGAAGAAAAGTCAAGCTCTGGCAGCATTTACTTGCAAGTGCCACTTGGTTTGATATTTAATATCTACTGCAGTGACATTTATGTGTGACTGAAGTGCTCAAATACATCTTGGTGTAATGCATAGCTATAAGAGTTTCTTAAACTTCAGTGTTGTTATTCCAGGGCGTTGTGGGAGATGCATAAGAACAAAAGACTTCTGGCTGACACCTGAGGATTTCATCAGAGTGAGCAAACCAGAAGGAACATGGAGAAAATGCATTTTATCCAATGGGGTACCTCTGGGGAAACTCATAATGGTAAAAAATGAAAACTGTTAAAAAAAAAGAGATACTTTCTGCCTTTCTTATCTTTCTATCAGTCAACCTGACTAACGAATGGCTTGACACAAACCATACTGGGGCAGCACATAGGCATGGCTTTCTTCTGTGTAGGCATAGATTAGTATTACATTGTTACACATGTATATAGTACATGCTATGTGTTCCTCAAAGTGGTACTCTTATTTAGTGATCGACTTTACTGACTTGAGAATTTGAAGTTTAATTCTTGTTTTTTATTTTTTTACATTTTAAACGTACATTTTAAACTCTTTGAAATAATTTGACGCTTCGTTCACACATGCTTTTCAGAAAAGTGTTTTGGAACTGCATATGATAAACTGCGATTGTAAGATCTGTGAAGACCTGGAACAATACCTAGTAAGACACCATCACTTACAATCACAGCCACATCAGCAGACCAGCATGACAACTAAACGTCGTCTATGAACTCTTGTCCCAGCAGAATGATGACGTGTGTTTCGTGTGTGACTCTGAGGGAGATCTCGTGTGTTGTGATGAGTGTCCACAAGCTTTTCATTCACACTGTCACCTACCAGCTGTACATGAAGACTCACCTGGGTGAGAGAGAGAGAAATCATGCTGGATTAGACAGACTAGATGTTTGACTTTGTGTAATGGTGTGTGTTTTGTGTGCACAGAAGCCAGTGGAGCTGCACGTTTTGTGTGATGAAGAAGATGAAAAGTTCCAGTCAAAAGACCCAACAGGATATTTTGAGCAGTCCAGTCTCTCAGTACACACTGGTAAAGTTTCTGCAATTTTTTAGCCCATACAATGGAAGTCAATGGGGTCCAAAACGACATTTCTTTCATTGTATAGACACAAAAAAAATGTTGGTAACACTTTCTATGAAGCCCGTATTTATAATACATTATAAGGGTATTCTTAAGGCATTATAATGAATGCATAATGCATTATAAAAAACCTTATAATATGTTGTATCATCTCATGAATATTCATAAGAACAGTTTTAATATATTATAATATTGGTGGTTATAGCTTTTAAGAGTATGATGATTTATAACACAATGAACACGTTGCATCCACTTTTACAATGGATTATATTTCTCATAGTTATAATGTATTATAAGTCTCATATCTCGCCATTTTTCTTATGCTACTTTACTTAAAGCAGTCAAAGACCACTTATAAGTAGTAGTAATAATAATAATAACAAAATTTTTTTCTCTCAAACAGCCATAAGATCAGATATCAGATCAGATGAATATTTAATATGACACATTTGCTTTTAACTATTTTTATTGTAATATCAGTTTGATTATTTTGATGGTACCCTTTAAACAGCTGTTGATAAGTGACTCTGCAACTACATATCAACTAGCGGTCATTAGAGTATTAGTATGTCTGCTACTGTAAATATTTGCTAACACTTTATTTTGATGGTCAACCAACAGATAAACTGACTATAAGTGTCTTTGCAAGTACGTCAACTTATTCTACCATACTAGATTCTACCATTCTTGAGCATACTAATACTGTGCAGATCTTAAATAAACAATGTCAAGATATGATACAGTCCATTATTCTGCAAATGAAGTAGATTTAATATGGTGTTCATTGTGTGTTATAAATAATCATACTCTTAAACTTATAACCACAAATCCGTAAGTATTATAATGTATTATAACTGTTGTTATGATTATTCATGAGTTGATATAACATATTATACGTTTTTTTATAATGCATTATGCATTCATTATAATGCCTTAAGAATACCCTTATAATGTATTATAAATACGGGCTTCATAGAAAGTGTTACCAAAATGTTTTTAACACTTACAGTCTGTTTGATTCTCTTCTAGCACTGCCAGTACCTGCTGTTACACCTGCTACACGAGAGCATGACCGACCCCTGTGCCAAAGTAAATCTCATATTTAAGAGCTTCATCTGGCTCTTGGTCAATATTTACAGCTCTTATATGTGGTGTATATGTACAGTATGTGACATCTGAACTGCTGGTGTCTAGGTTCCAGGATTCAGTGGGAACATTTGTAGTCCCATGATGCTGGGCAGAGTGAAGCTGAACTTGGAGAATAATGATTATCGAACAGTACAAGAGTTTGTCACGGATATTGAACTGATTTTCAACAACTGTTACACTTCCAGTGAAGTGAGTTTCATTTTAACCTTATGCAACTTTTACCAAAGACAATTAACCTTTTTCTTTTGCCATCCTATTTTTATATACTAAGGTCTACTTTGTTTTTCCTCTCTCTATGTTCTCTGCAGGACAGTGACTCGAGTAGAATGACCTCAAGGCTGAAGGAAGTATTCAAGAGGAAGTTTGAAACCGTCTTTAAGCTCCTATAACATCATGCTGTGGGTTGTTTGTCGATATGTCAGTACTGTTTCGCAGAGCACACTTTTGAAGTGTTGCCATGTCCACTTATTATAGGCGATGCCTATTAAGCATATGGAAGAAAGGCACAACTCTGATATGCATATAAATACATGATTAACTAGTTGTTCAGTTCGGTTCCATATTCACTGTCTAGAATTTTTGTAAATGCGTTTGTCATATATATATATATATATATATATATATATATATACAGGGTTCGTACACATTTTTACCAATAAATTTCCATGACTTTTGAGACAATATTCATGACCTAAATGTATATATATATATATATATTGATTTCCGCATGGCTAGATCACCATTTCGCAATATGCTGATCAGGTGAGCATTAGGAAGGCAGATCTACTGAAAGGTGTGGTTAGGTGGAGCATGTAAAAGGAAAGGAGATTAGACGGTGTGTGTGTACACTGTGTAAGAGAGAAAGCGAACCAGAAAAATAGGCAGAAAGTCATGGACACAGCAAGGTGAGTACATTTATGCAATTATTAGTAATTCCATTTTTTTCGGATCTGTTGTTTTCTTTCATTTATCACTTTTTATTACTCAAGTTTCTAAACAATCCAGGAAGCAACTTTCAGTTTTGTTTCTGCATCAGAGTGAGTGGCCTGCTTTCAACTGGGTACATTACTGTATAGTAAAAAAAAAATACAAATAAAATAAAATTAAGTTTTTTTTCTATAAAATAGTGTAAAATTATTAAACAATCAATTTATTATGAAAGAATACATGTTATTTGATCATATTGTTAAAATGACTTATGTTATGTAAAATAACATTATATAAAGATAATTATAAACTGTACAACATGCAGTCACCAGAATGTAAAATCTTGTAATGGTTAAAATGACAGAGGCATGATTGTATTACAGAGACTGACTACTCAAAAAAATACAAATGGAAGAAATTGTAATTCATATAACAATGTAATTCAAAAATCGCATGTAAAAGAAGGCATTTGACTCTCAAATTATCCAGTGAATTCAACAGCTGACACGAGCAGACGAGCATAATATGCTTGGTCAAAGCCATTTTCAGACACAATACTAAACATTTCAAGAAAAAAACAATAATAGCAATAGTTTCTTTTGTTGCATCATTTTTGCTTAAAGGGGTCATATGATGCTGCTAAAAAGAACATTATTTTGTTTATTTGGTGTAATGAAATGTGTTTATGCGGTTTAAGGTTAAAAAAACAAAGTATTTTCCACATACTGTACATTATTGTTTCTCCTCTATGCCCCGCCTTTCTGAAATGCGGATTATAGTGATTTATACTGTCTTTTTACGCGTTGCGTTGCATCGCGCCGCGTAAACATAAAACCATGTCTGCATTTGTGATGGAGAAATTACAAACTACAAACGCTACTCTACACTGCTCAAAACTCGTGTCAGTCGTCAAAATGGTCAGTGGCAAATTCTTTAAATATAAAAAACGTACTTAGTCTGTGAGTCAGAACAGCCGGCATTGTAGGCTACTCTGCAGGTTCAGTAAACAGTCCTCCATAAAATGCGCTGGACACATCGGAATATTTGGGTTGAACTGTTCTGGAACAGTGTTGTAAATACAACTTAACCACTGATTTCTAG